TCATAAGGTTGTTATGAGGATTAAATGGGATGGTGAATGAAAAGCTCTTAGCTCAGTGTCTGGCACATAATAAATATTCACTAAATGTTAGCTGCTATTATTATAAATAAGAATATAATTTATTGTATGCCTATTACATATCAGGGGCCTCCAGGTACATTATCTCTAATCCTGATAACAATCTTACAGGGTAATTATTGCTGTCTCCACCTTACAGATAAAAGAGATAAATTACTTGTTCAAGGTCACTTGCCTAGGAAGTAGCAAAGCAGAGGTTTCCCTGGATCTGAAAAAATATATCAAATTTCATCTGAATATCATCAAATTCATGGAAAAGCTGCCCAATAGAAAGCCTCCCTCCAACGCCATTATATTTCAAGGTGGCTTTTGTAAAACCTATAAAGTCATGATAAGGTCAAAGTATAATCTCTAGTAGAATAACTGATTTAATCAAAATCCATTTACTCCTTCAAGCTTTATCACAAAATTTACAGGGAAACTCAAAATGCCATCTAATCAATTAACTGTTCCCCATAAATAAACTTTAACATCCTTAAGTTTAAGAGTCTCTGCATTAGTCAGGATTCCTTGAGTAAAGGTTAATGAAGCCCATCTCAAAACATCTTAAGCAAAAGGGAAATTTATTACTCCTGTGTTTGAGAATTCTAAAAATCTAATTTCAGGCATAGCTGCATCCAGGTTCTTTGCTTTCCTCTCCTTCCCCACGCTGGCTCTATTTTCAGCTCTGCTTTCTTGTCTTGGCTGGCTTCCCCCTCTTCTCTGAAAAATTGCAGTATATGTTGATATAGATATTTGCCAAAAGTCTCAATGCTTTACCTTCATAGTCTAGTGACCCCAACAGAAAGAAGAACTTTTATTCCTCCAACATCTGTATACAGTTGATCCTTGGACAACATGGGTTTGAAATGTGTGGGGCCACTTACATGCAGGTTTTCTTCAACCTCTTCTACCCTTGAGACAGCAAGAACAACCCCTGCTCCTCCTCCTCCTCTTTCTCCTACTCAGCCTACTCAGCGGGAGGATGGACACCTTCACGATGATCCACTTTCACTTAATGAATAGTAAATATATTTTGTTTGCTTTGTGACTTTCTTTGTAACATTTCCTTTTCTCTAGCTTCCTTTATTGTAAGAATACTGCATATAATAAATCTAACATACAAAATATGTGTTAATCAACTGTTTATGTTATTAGTAAGGCTTTTGCTCAACAGTAGGCTAATAGTAGATAAGTTTTGGGGGAGTGAAAAATTATACCTGGATTTTTGACTGTGCAGGGGGTCATCATCCCTAACCCCTCCAGGGTCAACTGTATTGGTCATTGATAAGAACTCTGGCCTATTTATGCCATAGAGTATGATCAGTTCTATGAAGAAGTGAGATGGAAGCAGCACTTTGATTGACAGCCCCCACAGGGACTCCTTAGAATGAGAAAAGAGGTTCCTGAAGAAAGAATTCTATCCACAGAAAGGAATGGAAAGTGCAATAAGTATATAAAACTCCAATAAGTAACATGTTTACTAGAGGCTTTTTCAGAAAGAAATTTTAATGTTCAATTTTTGTTCTATTCTCTTCCATTCATTTAGTCAAAAAAAAAATTGTAGAACACTTACTATAGACATTGTTCTGGGTATTTAGAAAATACACAGAAGAAAAAGGAGAGTCCTTCAGTAGCATTGCATTATTTTTTCCTATGGCTGCTGTAATAAATTACCACACATTTGATGGTTTATAACAAAGTTATTATCTTACAGATTTGAAAGCGGGATAACCAAAATCAGTCTCGCTGGGCTAAAATCAAGAGGTCAATAGGGCCAGTTCCTTCAGAGGCTGGAGAGGAGAATCAGTTTCCTTGCCTTTTCTAGCTTCTTCCTGGGCTCATGGCCCCTTCCTCAAATCACTGAACCCTCTTGCTTCCTTTGTCACATCTTCTTCCTCTTCTGCAGTCAAATTTCCCTCTGCTTCCCTCTTTTAAGGACACTCGCAATTACATTTAGGGCTCACCTGAATAATCCAGATAATCTCTCTCTCTCTCTCAAGATCTCAAGATACTTAATGACATCTGCAAAGTTCCTTTTGCTATGGAAGATAGCATGTACAGGTTATGGGGATTAGAACACAGACATCTTGGTGGGGCATTATTCTGCCTTCCACAAGCCTAGTCCAAGAAGATATGACAGACAATCAAAGCAAATAAATAGACATACTCTCAGGCAAAGAAAGACATTATTTTCCAAAAGAGAAACCACAAATTATACATAGAATGAAGAAGTCACTTTCAGCTTCTGAGATCTAGTTTGGCTTCTTGATAAATAATAGCAAACATTTATATTGCTTATCATATATCAGATGTTGTTCTAAGCATCTTTCTTATATAACTTACTTATCTTCACAAAAACTCATCCTCATTGTATAGAAGAGGAAACTAAGGCACAAAGATGTTAAGCGACTTGCCCAAGATCACATTGAACTTGCAGGGCTAGGGTTTGCACTCAAGGTGTCTGATTCCGAAGTGCATACTCTTGATCATTTGAGATGGAACTTAAAAGTATGGATAAGCAGGCAAACACAGTGAGAAATGGAAGGGTATTATAGACAGAGGAACAGAATGAACAAAGGCACAGAGGCAAAGAAATGACAGGCAGATTCAGGCCAGTGAGTAGTCTGGGTTGGGTAAAGCATAGCAAGCCTAGGAGAAGCAGTGAGAGATCAACCTAGAGATCTAGCTCAAGGTCAGAGCAAGGAAGACCTTGAAACCGCGGACATGTCCCATAGCCGATGAGATCTTTCAGACAGTTGAGTATAGGGAGCTTGTATGAGCTGGGCCTCAGGAAGACTGATCTGGTAGCAATGTGAATGCCAGGCTGGAAGGGTGAGAAGGGAGCTGCCCGCTCTCCTCGGCTCCCTTGGCACTTTGTACATCATAGAATGTGTCTCACCCACTAGAGAGTGAGCTTCTGGAGGGGAGCTGAGTGTGTCAGCCACCTCTGGCTGCAGGTGCCAGTAGATGCTACATTTAACTACAAAACAGTACGGCTGGAGGGCAAGAGGAGGGTAGGTGTCGATGCTGTTACTGCTGATGCAAATAATACTATCTTGGAGTCAACTTAAAATGCCTTTACCCACATTTGCTGAAGGTTTTTAGCACAATAAAAAGTGTCTGGAAATTCAGGATACGCAGATCTATAGTCTCATCTTAGCTCTGCCACTTGCCTTTGTGAGATTTTGAGATAATTTCTCAACACCCCAAGCCTTGTTTTCTTGCTCTTTAATAGAAATAAAATTATTTCATTGGTCATTGTTAACTTGCAAGGTAATAGTTATTCAGTTCGAATAAGCGATCTAACATACGAATGGCACTCAACATTATTGTTATGATTACATTATATTCATACTTAATTTTGTCACCAGCTCACCGTTAGGTCCGTGTAACTATTTTGTCCCATTTTACAGACCAGAAAACAGAATCTCAGGGAGAAGAAGGGATTTATCCAAAGCCATTCAGTAGAGAAGTCTGGATTTGAACCTACTGCGGTGGAATCCCAACTTCGTGCAAATCTCACAAAGGGAAATGAAGCCCAAGGGAAAGGGCAGCACAAGTGTGAGCGAGATGGGCTTCTAGAAAGTCGCCCGCAGATCTTTGAGGAAGCGGGAGGGCAGAGATTTGGAAGCAGCCATCTCTTCACCTGTCGCCAGCCACACCCTGGGCCCGGCGGAGGAGGGCGCGCCGCCTCCGGAGCTGCTTGAAAACTTGGCCCCGCCCGGCAACAGCCTTCTGCGTCCTTAGCGACCAGGGCGGGAGCAGCCTTGGCCGAGAGCGGGGCCCTGCGACTGGCCCGATTCCTGGGGCCCGATCTCCACGCCGCACCCGCACCCTGGTCTCCGCGCGCGCGGCGGCTTCCCGGGAGACAAGCACCACCGAGCGCGCACCTCTGGGCTGCCAGGGTGGGAAACGCCGCCCCAGCGGTAAGGCCGTCCTCTCTGTTCTCTCCTGGAAGAGGTCTCAGGGCTGAGGTGCAGCTGCTGGGCAGGGAGGAGACTGGACAATCACAAATTCTGGGCCTTGAACTTTCCAGACAGGTTCAAAGGGGTTGCAGGTCCCGTTGGATGGGTGGCTGCCCACTTTAGCGCCGTCCACATGCAAAGAGAAGCTGAGGTCTTGGGAAGAATCCCGGTCTAGCTATTAGACTGGCGGATTGGAAACACCTGTGCCCCTCATTCTCTTTGTGACCACGGTCAAATAACACACCCTCCCTGGGCCTGGGTTTTCCAGTCTTGAAAGGAGCATTTTTACCTGTGGCCAGGTTTACTGAGCTTCTGAGCTTCCTTTTGCGTGAGACCTGCTTAAACACCCAGTGCTTATCTCATGCGAGATCTCAACTTCAGTTTCATTGGATTGTTGCAGAGACAGATCAATCAGTGATAGCAAAAAGCCCTCTTCCCTGTGTATAGTCTTTCTTCAGCCGCATTATCTCGGGATCCACCGCAAGTCCCTGAGAGCAGAACTAGAATTATGCCGATTTCATAAGTGGGGAAACTGAGCATGAGAGCTGAATATGGATTCTCCAAATATCCCACTAAAGCCCTAGTTTCCTCTCTGATCTCACAAGAATTCCATCTGATGTCTGGTAGTACAGGAAGGTAGAGTCACCTAACATCTCAGTAGGGCTGCTTTGCAGACCTCTTTAAGTGAGATTCCCAACTCTGCTCATTACTGGCTATGTGATGTTGAGTAAGTTACCTAGCTACATGACGTCTGTTCCCTCAACTGTAAAACAAGAATGATAATAGAAATTAAAAGTATCTCACTCATGCCTTTATTAGGAGTATTAAGTTAGATAATGTAGGTAAAACACCTCTTCCTCGTATTATTATTGCCGTTGTTATTGACAAGCATGCTGCAGTTCCCTAGCGGAAAATCAAGAGGAATGATTTATTTATTTTTGCCCCCAAGGATTTGAAGGAATTTTAAGAAGGATCATGTCTGCAGTTTGGAAGACTCCCTGTGGGTCAGATGCAATGCCTGAGATCACGGTGAAAATCGTTGGAAGTAAACACTTTCGATACCTTGTGGAAAAGCCAAAGACGTAAGACTACGTTTTGAAAAATATCTATGTTGCTTGGATAATAATGAAGTTTTATTGTTTTTTTTTAAACCCAGAAATTTAAATTTAAAAATGCCATCCATGGAAAATTAAGTATTAAGATCTAACAGTGGAAGTACAATAGTGTTGATAACTTCCATGCACACTGTTTTCCTGATATTTTTCGTCTTTGTAATTCCCCATAATCCTTAATTACTCAGGCTGATTTTCCACATAGATGGGAAATGTGAGAATTGCAACATTTATAAACATTAATGGAGTATTGCTGCTTTTCCTCATTGGGTTTGTAATCTACCACATGTAGTAATTTTTTTTCAGTGGGGGGCGTGGAGAGGTTTGTTAGTCAATTTGTTGTGAATTAAAGGAGTGGGATTAATAACGGATCATAAATTATAAGATTTTCACTTACTCTTGTATGCATTTGATACTCCTCTAATCAGGGGCTTCTCAGAGCATAGCTAAGATGTCTTTCCTCCCTTCCAAACCCATCACAGTCACATTTGAGAGAGGACACTCATGTATCTCGAAAATTCACTAGATGTTTGGTACAGAAGGGTATGACTAGCTCTTTCTTACAGAGTAAGTGGCTCACAGAATAAAAGAAAAGAAGATACTAGACCTGCCTTTCTTATAGTAGGCATTCCATAAATAGTATCCTTCCCCTTCTAAGATTATTTCCTTAGCTTGCTCTTCTATTTCAGAAACTCACAAACTGAACAAATAAGCAAACAAAAAAGACATGGCATCATTGAATATAGGTGCAAAAAGCGATGCTATCATCAGAGTCACCGGGAGAGTCCTTAAAAATGAAGAGTCAGGATCCAACTGAAGACCTACTGAGTCAGAATCTCCGAATGCAGGTCGCCAGTACCACTGTTACGAAGTACAGGCTTTATAAACGCTTTAGAAAGGCGAATTGATTTTTTCTTCCCACCTTCATTATTGTTAGCCCAGAGAGGTTCCAAAGTGAGTGCTATAATCAGTTAGTGATGTCTGCCATGGCACAGAAGTAAGCTTTGCAGCACACGATTAATACGTCTGGGATCCCTACAGAGCTGAGAGATGTGAGTTTGAAGCCCAGCTCTGTTTCTTCCTTGCCTTTTAACATTGGGAAAGTGAATTAACATCTCTGGCCTCAAAATCTACATCTATAAAGTAGAAATAAAACAACACCTGTTTAGTAGTAGAGTTGTGAGGATTAAATGAGAATAAGTATGAAAAGCACCTTTTCCAGTGTTTACCACACTAACATGTTTAATAAATGGTTCTGCTATTACTTTTGAAGCATGCCTTTCCATGGATAGAAAACATTTAATGGAAAATCAAATTCCTTTCTATGAAATGCTTGCCATCTCTTTTATATGCTATACCTAGGAGGCAGGTTATCTCTATTTTCTAGATGACGAAACTAAGACACTGTGATAAGATAAGTGATTACTCTAAGATCTGTGAAGTCCTTGTCACTGTCAAATGAAGTTAATAGAATTGGTTTGGACACCTGACTCAGATCTCCTTCTACCTGGAAGACTACATTACTACTAATTCCATCCCTTCCTTTGGTTGTTTGGTTAACCTCATTTTTTCCCAAACCTCTTGCTTTTTCCGGGGGTATGAAGTTTGATATGTTTTTAAAAGGAAAGTGGGAGAAGAGTCCTTGTCCTTTTAAAATAGGAAACAATTCCTTCATCTTATAAAAAGGTACCTTTCCCTCTCCTTCTTTCAAAAAAACTTGAGAAACCAGGAAATAAAAGAGTACATTAAATCAGTTAAATTAATAAAAAACACAGTTCTTTCTTTCCTATGACACTATAAAAATCAGCATTTTTAGTATTATGACAAGTAGTTTGTGTTTCTGATAGACTTCATGCTATTGCTGGGATGAGATAGAACAATTCACATGCTTTACTAAAATATTGTTGTATGGCTTAAAAATAAATAATTCTCAAGAGGCTTCTTGTTACTCAGGTAGGAAAAGCCCTACCACTCTCAAGTCATGCATAGCCTAGAATCTGTGTCCCCTAAAGTGATTATACCCATAATTCAGGGCTGCAAGAGGGTGTTTGTTTCCTTTGAGTTGAATCAGTTGAACCCATTAGTAAGGATCTATATAAGAAGTACAAATAAATGCCAAAAAAAAGTCCTCTCCAAAAGGAAAATCTTAATTAAAAGAAACTCATGAATTAATAATGGATGGAAAAACAGAAATCTTCTATTATATCCCCATTTAGCTCAGATTTCCTATAAGACATGTATTGAAATTGTCTTAGTCTGTCAAACCTGAAAGTGACTTTTAATATATAGACTTGCTAGGGCTGCTGTAATAATCTACCACAACCTGGGTGGCTTAGAAAAAAGTTTATTGTCTCACAGTTCTGGAGGCTAGAGGTTCAAGATCAAGGTATCCACAGAGCTGTAATCCCTCTGAAGGTGCTAGGAAAAAATCTATCTGTCTCAGGCTTCTCCCCTTGCTTCTGGTAGTTCCTTGGTTTGTGGACAATTGTTCACGGATGAAAGGAAAATAATACATATTTAGTATCACAGTTTTCATAAAGAAGATCAAAGAATGAAACAAGTGTCACCTAGTTCGTGCTATCATCATTTTCCTCCTAGATCACTATGACAGCCTTCTATCCAGCTGTCTGTTTCTAATCTTCTAGTTCTCTTATCTGCTTTCTAAAGTCTTGTTCCTCAATGTGCAGTCCATGGACCGATGTGTAGTCCATGGACCAGCATCAATCCCACCTGGGACTTCGTTAGAAACAGAACCTCAGCCCCCTCTCCTGATGTACTGAGTCAGTCTGACTTTAAGGAAGATTCCCAGATGACTCTTATGCACATTCCAGTTTGAGAAGCCCCATTCTCAAGTATGGACAGCATGATTTTTCTAAAATGTAAATCTGATCTTGTGCTGCCACCACCAGCCCCAGATTTGTCTTCCTCACTTAGGGGCTCCTGTTAACACACTTAGGAATTATTACACGCTGACAACTTCCTATGCATTTCTGTCTTCCCCATTTAAGTATAAAGTGTATGTGCACAACTGTATCTTCAGCACAGAGGATAAAATCTTGTACGTGATGAAAGCCTATTAAATATATTAGAGCAACATGGTTGCCAAGAAAAATAAAGATCTAGAAAGACAATAGTTGCTTCAAATAAATCCAAATCTAAAGGCCCATGCTGTTAAAATAGCATGCAAATATTACTATAGAAGCCTGATGGGTAATGTGCCAGGTGACAGGAGACAAATATTCTCATTTTCAAAAAGGAGATAAGAGTAGGCAATAGAAATACAGAGCCTGAGACCTGTGGACAATCCCTGGCAAAACCGTTGCCCAAATAACTAAATATATTAGTTATGAAAACAAAACACAAAAGTGATGATCACCAAGGGTTGGTATGTGTCAACTAAAAACAGATTATGCCAGACTGGTCCCATTCCCTTTATCAACAAGATCACTGCAGCCCAAATGAAGGCAATGATAAAGAAGTAGTATTTGTTGATTTCAGTGTGTCATTAGGTACATCTTTCTCACAAAGTCCTGAAACAAGGCAGGACATTTTAGACTTAAATTCTAGGTGATGTACCTAGGTGAAGATAGGTGATATACCACCATGGTGGTGACTGAACAATTAATATAAATGCAACCTGCTGGAGTTGTAGAGATTTGTGTGTGACCTTGTTCTTATGCAACATTTTCTAATCCACAATCAAAGGAAGATAGACAAATCATTTCAGTAAACATGTAGGTTGCAGAATGCTGGAAAGGCTTGGCAGGGAAATGAGCTAAAACCAACAAGATCAAATCAGCAGAAAAATATGCAAAATCTATCTTTAGGTAAGTGTACATATAAATGGTTATGTGGAATAAATGTTTGGGTTTTTTCTGTGCTTGAGCTTAGCAGGAGGCAAGGGTATTGAGACAGAGGGATGTGGAGGCCACCTAGACTCAGAACTCAGTGCAGTAGTGTACTTCATTCTAGATGCCACAATTTAGGAGGGACCTCCACACTAAAGGTGGGGGCAGCAAAGGGCATTAAGGGAGATCCAGGGCATGAAATGTGTCCTAGGGGAACATTTAGAGAATTTGGGGATTGAATTGTTAAATAGAAGAGGCATTGGGTCCATTTCAAGAAACTCCTGTGGGTAGAAAGGCTTCCCATGAATAAAGCTGACCGTGATAGTTTCTTCCAATGTCAAGAGTCAGTGACCCAAAGCACTTCCTCATCCCACAGATACATCACTGTGGGTACAGCATTGTTAGGCACAGGGGAAGCTGACTGCAAGTTTTTATGGGGAAGGGTAGTAAATATTTGTAATGCAGGCATGCCTTGTTTTATTGTGCTTCACTTCATTGCTCTTCCCAGATATTGCATTTTTTACAAATTGAAGGGTTGAGGCAATCTTGCAACAAGCAAGTCTGTGTGCACCATTTTTTCAACAGCATGTGCTCACTTCATATCTCTATGTCACATTTTGGTAATTCTCACAACATTTCAAACTTTTTCCTTATTACTATATCTGTTACGGTCATCTGTTATCAATGATCTTTGACGTTACTATTGTAATTATGTCGGGGTGCCACAAACTGTGCCCATGTAAGATGCTGAATGTAATCAATAAAGGTTATGTGCGACCTGACTGCTCCACCAACCATCCATTCCCCCATTTGTTTCCTTCTCTTTGGTCCTCTCTGGTCCCTGAGACACAATATTGAAATTAAGCCAATTAATAAACCTACAATGACTTCCAAGTGTTCAAGTGAAAGGAAGAGTTGTGTATCTCTCACTTTAACTTAAATGCTAGAAATGATTAAGCTAAGTGAGGATGGCATGTCAAAAGGTAAGATGGGCTAAAAGGTAAGCTTCTTGTTCCAGACAGTTAGACAAGTTGCTAATGCAAAGGAAAAGTTCTTGAAGGAAATTAAAAGTGCTACTCTAGTGAACACACAAATGATAAAAAAGCTAAATAGCCTTATTGC